GTCGTCGGTCTGCGCGACGGTTGCGCGGCGATCTTCGGCGCGGCGCCCGCCGGCGGGGAAGATGCCCCCCCTGGTGTGGAGGGGGCCGCGCCCTATCAATCCGCGGACGAGTTCGGGGGGGCGAGGTGGGGGGCGACGCCGACGCCGAGAGCCCCCCCCCCTTCTCCCCGTGCGCGCGTCGCCGCTGCCGGTGGTGCCTCCTGCTCCGCCGCGGGGCCGTCTCGGCGTGCAGCCGAAGCCCTGTGCGAGAAGCCCGCCCCCGTGAGGGGGGCTATCGCCGCGGCTGTGGGCGAGGGGGCGCGCGTGACCCGCGCGGGGGTCCAGCTGGAGATCCAGCGGCAGATGGCTGCGAATGCGGCCCAGCCTGCGGCTCCACCTGGGGGCGCGCCCGAACGCACTGGGGGCCCGCGCCGAGCCGCTTCAGCTGTTCGCGGACGAGGCGGCGCGCGTGGGCCTTCCTCGGGACGACCTGCAGGCCGCGCTGGCATTGTCGCCGGCCCCCCCCCCGCCGCGTGTCCACGTCCGTGCCCCGGCGCCTGCGTCTGTGTTGGCGGCGGTGTGGGTTCAGAGGGGGCTTGGGGGCGCGCGTCCGCCACTCCCGCCGCTCCTGGCGCCGCCGCTGCTCCCTGCCCCCCCGTGTTCGGCAGTGCCCGACGGCGTCGGCGACGTCGTCGGGGGGGCGCCGTGGGAGACGGGCCCCGCGCGAGCAGCATGCCGGAGTCCACCTCAGAATTGGCGTCGCTGTGTCCGCGGGAATCTCTCCGGCGGTCGGGACAGCTTAGAGCGGCGAGGCGTCCCCTCCTGGGGGTCGCTCGGCGACCCTCTTCATCCCGCCGCCTGCACGGTGACCGAGGGGGAGGTTGCCGGAGCGTCGATGAACGCGCGGGGTCGCGCGTCACAGGGGGCGGCCGCAAGTGCAGGTGCAGCGCGGGCAGGAAGTTCGACCCATCCTGAAGGCAAACCTTGCGCGGGCTCAGGGGTGGGGCCGTCTGCGATCACCTCCATGGCATTTTTTGACGGGAAAAAACGCGAGCGCAGCCCGCTGGGGGCCCGCCCAGCGACGCGCGATGTGCTCGCCCATGTCGCGTGGCTGAGCGCGGAGCTGTGGCGCGCGTCCGAGAGCGGGGGCGCGGGCAGGGTGGGGGCCCTGATCAGCTGCCAGTGCGTGTCCCTCGACCATCTGGCCGGGGGCCGTGGTTACCTGGGGGCCGCTTGGTTCATGGCGGGGCCGGAATAGGCTGGGAACGCTTCCCGCGTGGGCGACCCGCGTCCGCGCGGAGAGGGAGGCCCGGATGCCTTTCTCTCCGCTCGTGGATCCTCGCTGGCCGTCGGCTCGGGGCGACTGCGCGACGGGGCCGATCAGTCGGGGGGGCCGGCGACGGCGGCGCCGGCGCCCGCGCGGCTGGGGCCCCTCCAAGGGCAAGGCCCAAGGGAGGGAATCTTCATCAAAAGGTGCCCCCAAAAAGGCCGGTGGGGCCCGAGGGGGGATCCGCGCATTTTGCGCGCGGTGGCCGAGGGCGGAGGCCGCGGCGAGTCGAGGGGCCCGACGACGTTGCGGCCGCCGAGCGCGCTCGGGCAGAGCGGGGCCGCGGCCGTGGGCATGTGCTACTCCAGCGATGTTGTTGCGGCCCCGCAGGATGACGCGCGTTCCGCGGTCGCGGCTCTCGCTCCGCCTCAGGCTCCCTTCGTGCCCCGTCGGACGTCGGGACCTTCGGTTCATCCTTGTCTTTGAATGAGCGTGTTCTACCGCCGCTGGCGGAAAACCGGGGGGGGGTCACTACCAGTTCGAACCCTCCCCCCACACCTCCGGAAAAACCGGGGGGGGCCGCTGCCGGTTCGACCCCCCCCCCCCCAGTTCATCATGAAAAAAAGGGGGGGGGGTCACTACCGGTTCGAACCCCCCCCCCCTCGAACTCGAAAGCCGGGGGAAAACCGAGGGGGGGTGCGGACAGTGGTGGGGGCGGTGGTGGTGGGGACAGTGGTGAGGGGACAGCGGGACAGTGGTGGGGACAATGGGACAGTGGTGGGGACCGTAGTGGGTGGGGACAATGGTGAGGACAATGGTGGGAACAGTGGGGACAGTGGGACAGTGGTGGGGACGGTGGTGGTGGGGACAGTGGTGTGGGGACAGTGGGAATGCGGTGGAAACAGTAGGACAGTGGAGGGTACAGTGGTGGTGGGAACAGTGGTGAAGGCGGTGGCGAGGACGGCGGTGAGACAATGGTACCAGTGGGGACAGAGGTACGGGTGGGGAGGGGTTCGAACCGGTAGTGACCCCCCCCTCTGGTTTTCGAGGGGGGGGGGGTCGAACCGGTAGTGACCCCCCCGGTTTTCGAGGGGGAGGGGGGGGGGGAGGAGTTAGGGGAGGGGGGGGGTTTTTGCCGGGGGAGAGGGGGGGGGTATCCAGCAAGGGGGGGATTTTCGGAGGGGGGGGGGGACCCCCGGGTTCCGGAGGAAAAGGGGGGCAATTTTCCACAGTAAAGCGGCGGTGGATCACGCTCTCTCTAGCGGTGCGGACAATGGTTCGGCCGCCGCTTTTGCCATTGCAAGGTCGCGCCCTTTGTCGCTCACCTCGCTGCCTTTCCGCGTCTGTTTCCGGGCGCGAAAGTCGATGTCATTCATTTGTGCCGCTGTGCTGGCCCAGGTAGGGCACGGTGCTCGGTGTTCTTGCTTCTGTCTCCGGCTCATCCATGCGTGCGCCGTTTGGGGGCGTTCCTGCTTCCGAGGAGTGCCCTCCCCGCGATCCTTTGCCGCGCCCTCCAGCCCCCGCTCTCGAGCCTCCCGCGGCCTTGACGTCGGGTCACTCTCGCGAGCGTCGGCGGTTGAAGCGCGCCGCGCGCTTTTGCGCAGCGCGTCGTGACTGCGCTTAATTGGCCGACCCCAGGGGTGCCTGGCCCCGCGCCTCCCGAGTCTCGCGCGCGTGCAACGGTCTCCCTTGCCGGGGGGGCGCGCGGGGCCGCGTCGAGCAAAACTGCGCGATCGCAGTTCGCCTTGCTTGCAGGGGCAGGAGCGACTCAGAGCGGGCGCTCGCGCAGTCCGATGTCGCCGGGGTCTCGCTCCATGGTCTGGCCGCCCACGTTGCAGCTCTCGATGCCTCGTTCCCCTCGTCCTCCTCCCTCGTGCCTGCCCCCGTGTGGGTTTGCTCGAGGAGCGCTCTTCCTGTTGGCTAGTTGGCCGCCGCGGCGGCCTGGGGCTCCGCCCGCGCCGGGCCCTTCTACCTTGAGGTCAGGGCGTCCCGCATCAAGTAGGATGGCTCGCTTACGTTCGACCCCGCCCCCCTATGTCCCGGACTCTGGGGCCCACGCTGCCTCTCTGCGCCCCGAGGTCGCGCGCCTTCCGCGCGGTGTAGAAGTGGGGCTTCTGCGGCGCTCTGTTTCGGACTTCCCCCTCGAGCCTCGCTTGGGACGAGGCGCGTGGGGCATTCGGAGTTCTCGTGGGCGACGACTTCGATCGTCTGATCCTGAATCCCACGGTGGTGAACAGTCGCTGTCAGAGCATCTGCTCCAGCACTCAACGCCTCGGCCAGGGCTTCTTGCTCTGCCGTATCAGCCTGTCTCCTTGCGTCTGACTTGTAGTGTCATGTGCGATGATTTGCGCGAGTTCTACTAGTGAATCGCTTCGCTCATTCCGCCGACCCATTGGGGGGCCTCCGGGAGGCACTTTTGAAGCCTCTTGGGGGTCGTGTTGGGGCCTCTTGGGGCCTCTCGCGGGCCTCTCAGGGCCTTCTGGGGGCCTCCTGGGGCTGAGGGCTGGATTTTCGATTCGTGGTCCCCTCCTGGGTCCCCCCTCTAAGGCCGTTCTGGGGTCCTTGGGCCGTCTTGGGCTGTCGTGGGGCCATCTTGGGCCGTCTTGAGGCCTTTCTGGAGGCTTCTCGGACCGTCTTGGGGCGGTCTTGGGGGCCTCTTGGGCCGTGCTGGAGCGTTGGAAAGCCGAGAAGGCGAGAACGCCAAACATTTTCCAACATAACGGGAAATTTGCAATTCGTTCTGTGGGCCCTCTTCCGAGGTCTCCTGGAGGCCTCTTGCGGCGTCTTGCAACCGCTTTGGGATGTCTGGAGGCCGCGCCGTCGGCGGGGGAGGGGTGCGGGCGCTCCCCCAGCCACCGAGGTGGAAGTGGTGCTCGCTGAGCTTCTGCTCGCACGCCAGCTCCAGCGCCGCCCCGCTGAGTGCGTCCCTGCAGCGGAGAGCTCCGCCCCGGTCGCGTTGTCGCCAGTGGCTTCTGCTCGCGCTGCTCGCGCGGCCAGCGGTCCGTCCGAGACTCTGTCTGCACAGTCGACGCTACCGCCAGGTGCGAGCGACGCGCTGGGGTGGCGCCTGGAGGTGGCTGGCGAGCCACTGACCGTCGTCCGCTGGTTGCCGGACTCCGACGAGGCAGCCAGCCCCTTCGCGCTGCCCCTCTGCCTCTGGCACGCTCTGCGGCAGCGTCGCCGTCTGTGCAGCACCTGCGGCCCGTGCCCAGTGGAGGGCCCCGACGCGTTGCTCGCAGTGAGCGCCGTCGTCCCCGTTGGCCTCTTGAGGGATGAGGCCGTCGGCTCCCTCGTTCAGGGAGCCATTCGGGGAGTGGGCCTGGGGACAATGTGACCCGGCGCCGACGGGCTGCGGCTTTGGCCGCCGGGCTGGGCGCTTTGTGGCGCGCCGGCCTTGACGGGGCCACGTTCCCCGTCTTGGACTGGGGTCGTCACGGGGGGCCCCCCGAGCTGCGTTCGCCTGGAGACGTCGCAAGAGAGTGCGACTCTCATGTGGCCTGCCGGCGTCCGTGACCCATGCGACTGCGGGGGTCTCGAGGCGGGGGGCGCGTTGCCGGCGGAGGTGGACGGCTCGGCGCGCCGCGTCGCTCTCAACGCCCAGGTCCCTTTCGGCGACGGAAGACAGAGGGGTCGACTACTGCACCGACATTGGAGCGTAGGCTCCCCGCGTCAGGTCGCGGGTAAGTGCGTTCGGTCTTCACGCGGTGTGCCGCGCTCGCGGCCTGCGTAAGCCACCGCGTACGGTCGCTATGCCATCTCGCATAGAGTTCGCTTCTTTCGTCGCTCACATGAAAGAGAATATCGAACATGTGCCAGATAACTTGGCAAAGCGCCAGGCACTCAACCCCTCGCCCTGTGCAGCATTGCTGTTTGGATTCGACTCGGCGGCGCCAGCAACGGTGGCAACGGTGGCGGCGGTAGCAGCAGCGGCGGCGGCAACGGGATCGCTCCGCGCGGCGACGGCGATTTCGCGAGGAAACCATCCGCGTCTCCGCCGTCGGCGCAGGACGATGGCCTGGCGGAGCGCTCGGCTGCCGGATGCCTGTGGTGTGCTGGCGGTCGCTTTGTCGTTGCTGCTGGTCGCCAGGGCGCCACTTGCCGCCCCAGCTGGCCTGGGGCTTGGGGCTGTACTGGTCAGAACGACGCGTTCGACCGGCCGGAGACCGGTCTGTGACGCGATGTGGCCGCGTCTCGATGGCCCGATCGTTCTGTATGTCGGCAGTCGTTGCCGCTGGTCGCTGGGTTGCTTCCCGCCGCCGCCGCCGCCGCAGTCGTCGTCGATGTCGTCGTCGTTGCCTGCAGGTTTTTGCTGCTGTTGGGGTGCCCTCGTCCCTTCCTCCTTCTGTTCCTTCCCTCGTCATCCTGACCCCCCTCCCAGTCCCCCTCGAGCAGAAGGGCGACCCCCCGAGCCGCGCCGAGGTGGGCGGCTCCGTGCGGGTCGACCCCGCGGCCGCGCCGGTCCGCAGGGGCAAGGGCCTCGGCGAGCGACAACGACGGATCTCCTTACCTATACAACCCCCTTTCGGATGGTAAGGAGGTTGGGAAATGTCATTCCTCGAGCAGGGGGACGAGGAGGAGGAGGAGAAGGAGCATGAGGAGGAGGAGGAGGAGGAGGTCGCCTGCCCGCGCAGCTTAGCTTCGCCCACGCCCGACCCGCTGCTCTCCCGCCCTTCCCTCTCGCCTTCCCCCCCCCCCCCTGCGAGGCGGGGATGTCTCGATGACCACCTCCCGGGGGATCGATCTCCGCGGACCTCCAGCAGCGGTGGACATATAGATGGGGATATGGATATGATTATGGTTAAGGATATGGAGATGCCTGTCTGTTCTTGTCTGTCTGTCTGTCTGTCTGTCTGTCTATCTGTCTTTCTGTCTGTCTGTCTGTATGTCTGTATGTATGTATGCATGCATGTATGCATGTGTGTAACTTGGTATGTATGTATACGTGTGCGCACATACAACAATATTTCCATGCATGTATGTATGCATGCACGTTTTTGTTATGTACGTACGTATGTATGTATGTGACTTTGTATGTATGTATGTCGGTATGCGTGTATGCCTGCCTGCCTGCCTGTATGCATGCATGCATGTATGTATGTATGGATGTATGCATGTATGTATGTATGTATGTATGTACGTACGTATGTATGTATGTCTGTCTGTCTGTCAGTCTGTCTGTCTGTCTGTCTGTCTCTCTGTCTGTCTGTCTGCCTGTCTGTCTGTCTGTCTGTCTGTCTGTCTGTCTGTCTGTCTGTCTGTATGTATGTATGTATGTATGTATGTATGTATGTGTGTGTATGTCTCTATGTTTGTCTGTCTGTCTGTCTGTCTGTCTGTCTGTCTGTCTGTCTGTCTGTCTGTCTGTCTGTCTGTCTGTCTGTCTGTATGCATGCATGCATGCATGCATGCATGCATGCATGTGCATATATACATATATATATATATATATATATATATATTCGGGCCCCGGGGGCCAACATGCAGCCCGCTGGCGGTGGACATGGCTAGGTCCCCGCCTCCCACCGCCCCCCTCCCTCGCGCCCCGTCAGGCCGGAGATCACCGCAGGCACTCGCACCACCACAGCCGGCACCACGTCCACCACAGCCACCACGGCGACCACCGCAGCCACCACAGCAGCCACCACAGCAGCCACCAGCACCGCAGCCACTACGAGGACGGGGCAGGCTCGGCCGACTGATCTCTCTCTTTCTCCCTCTCATTCTCTCTCTCTCTCGCTCTCGCCCTTCCTGCCTCTCCATAGGTGGGATCTCGCTGTGGATCTCGTTGTGGATATCGCTTTGAGTCCAGATCGCATTGCACCGTCTCTCGTTCTTTCTTGTTCTCTCTCTCTCTCTGTCTCTCTATTTCCCTCTTTCTGTATTTCTTTCTCACGCTTTCTCTGTCCCTGCCTGTACCCTTGCCTCTGCCTCTGCCTGTCGTGTCTGCCTCTACCTCTGCCTCTGCCTTCGTCTCTGTCTCTTCCTCTGTCTCGGCTTCTTTCTATGCCTCCGCCTCTGTCTTTGTCTCCGACTCTGCCTCTTATGGTGCCTACCTGTCCGTCTGTGCTATCACTCGTAGTCGTCGTTGCATCTATCCAGTTGCGCTGCCCCCCCCCACACATCCGCCACTGCGCTTCCAGAGCAGGTATAACTGATGCACTTCTAGACGCGTCGCGTAACCCCACGAGCCCATCCATAACACGACGCCCAGGCGAGTTGTCCTGATCAGGCATGTGGGGGACCACGCAGTAGGAAAAAGGCTGGAAAGCCGTCATACCCCAAGAAGAGGAGGATGGCGGAGCAACAAAAGGAGGATGAGGAGGAGGAATTTGAGGAGGAGGAGGAGGAGTTTGAGGAGGAGGAGGAGTTTGAGGAGGAGGAGGAGTTTGAGGAGGAGGAGTTTGAGGAGGAGGAGTTTGAGGAGGAAGAGGAGGAGTTTAAGGAGGAAGAGGAGGAGGAGGAGGAGGGAAAGGAGGATGAGGAGGAGGAGAGGGAGGAGGAGGAGGAGGAGGAGGAGGAGGAGGTAGGAGGAGTGAGGAGGAGGAGGAGGGAGGAGGAGGAGGAGGAGGAGGGACAGGAGGAGGAGGAGGAGGAGGGAGGGGAGGAGGAGGAGGAGGAGGAGGATGAGGAGGAGGAGGAGGAGGAGGAGGAGGAAGTTTGAGGAGTTTGACGTGTTTGAGGAGCTTGATGAGTTTGTAGAGTTTGAGGGGTTTGAGGAGTTGAGGAGTTTGAGAGTTCGAGGAGTTTGGGGAGTTTTAGGAGGAGGAGGCGGAGGAGGAGGAGGAGGAGGAGTTGGGGAGGAGGGAGCAGGAGGAAGGAGGAGGAGGAGGAGGAGGAGGAGGAGGAGGAAGAGGACTTGAGGAGGGGAGGGAGGAGGAGGAGGAGGAGGGGAGGAGGAGGAGGAGGAGGAGTTTGAGGAGTTTGAGGAGTTTGGGGAGTTTGAGAGTTAGAGGAGTTTGAGGAATTGGAGGAGGAGGAGGAGGAGGAGGAGGAGGAGGAGGAGGAGGAGTTTTAGGAGTGTGAGGAGTTTGAGCGGTTGGAGGAACTTCAGGGGTTTGAGGAGTTTGCGGCGTATGAAGGGGTTGAGGAGTTTGGGGAGTTTGAGGAGCTTGTGGGGTTTGAGGAGTTTGGGGAGTTTGAGGAGTTTGTGGCTTTTGATCAGGAGGAGTAGGAGGCGTTTGAGGAGTTTGAGGAGTTTGAGGAGTTTGGGAAGTTTGGGGAGTTTGAGGAATTTTCAGAGGGGGCAGGTGGGTGTAGAGAGCAGGCGGTTAACATGTTGGAGCTTGATGAGTTTGATGAATTTGAGTGGTTTGAGGGGTTTGGTGAGTTTGAGGAGTTTGAGGAGTTTGAGGAGTTTAAGGAGGAGGCGGAGGATGAGGATGATGATGAGGAGGAGGATGAGAAGGCGGGAGGAGGATATTCAGACGATACAGACGAGGAGGAGGAGGAGGAGGAGGAGGAGACGTTTGAGGAGTTCGATGATGAGGAGGATGATGAGTTTCGGGAGTGCGCGGGGGAGGAGGAGGAGGATGAGAAGAAGGATGGGGAGGAGGAAGAGGAGGAGGAGGAGGAGGAGGAGGAGGAGGAGGAGGAGGAGGAGGAGGAGGAGGAGGAGGAGGGTGAGGAGGGGCAGTTTGATGAGTTTGAGGACTTTGAGGAGTTGGACGAGTTTGAGGATGCTGATGAGGAGGAACTTTTGGAGGCGGAGGAGGAGGATGAAGCTGGGGAGGAGGAGGAGAAATTGGAGGAGGAGAAAGAGGAGGAGACAGATGAGGAGGAGGCGGAGGAGGAGCTTGCAGAGTTTGAGGAGTTTGGAGAGTCTGAGAAGTTTGAGGATTTTGAGGAGTTTGTGGGGTTTGAGGAGTTTGCGGCGTATGAGGAGTTTGGTCAGTTTGAGGAGCTTGAGGAGTTTGACGAGTTTTTGGAATTTGAGGAGTTTGAGGCTTTTGATCAGGATGAGTAGGAGGAGGCGTTTGAGGAGCATGAGGAGTTCGGGGAGTTTGCGGCGTATGAAGAGTTTGGAGATTTTGAGGGGTTTGGGGAGGAGGGGTATTAGGGAGAGGAGGAGGAAGGAGATGAGGACGAGAAGGAGGAGGAGGAGTAGGAGAAGGAGGAGGAGGAGCAGGAGGAGGAGGAGGAGGAGGAGGAGGAGGTGGAGGAGGAGGAGGAGGAGGAGGATGAGTTTGAGGAGTTTGAGGAGTTTGAGGAGTTTGACGAGTTGGAGGAATTCGAGGAGTTGTAGGAGTTTAATGAGTTTGAGGAGTTTTAGGAGTGAGGGGTTTGGGTAGTTTGAAGAGGTTAAGGAGTTTGATGAGTTTGAGAAGTTTGAGGGGTTGAGGAGTGTGACACGTTGGAGGCGTTTGAGGAGTTTTGGGAGGAGGCATTTGAGGAGTTTGAGGTGTTTGCGGGGAAGGAGTTTGAGGAGGAGAAGGAGGAGGAGGAAGTTTGAGGAATTTGTTGAGCCTTTGTAGTTTGAGGAGTTTAGGGGTTTTGAGCAGGAGGAGTAGGAGGCGTTTGAGGAGTTTGAGGAGTTTGAGGAGTTTTGGGAAATTGAGGAGTTTGAGGCGCTTGAGGGGTTTGAGGAGTTTGAGGAGGAGGAGGAATTTTAGGGAGGAGGAGGAGGAAGAGGAGAAGGAGGATTAGAAGGAGGAGGATGAGGAGGAGGAGGATGGGAAACGGGGAGGCTCCGTAACCATTTTGGCTCAAGCCAGTTTGGCTCAAGTCGGGCTCAAACTGCGCGCGCGCGCCGACTTG